TGAAAGCCGAAAGAGGAAAGCAAAGTCATCCAAAGACGTCGAAGACGAGGACTACATGGATGTGGATGATGAAGATATTGAACTTCCCGAAGAAGAACCGGAACTAGGAGGTAAGGTACCACCTCACTCTCCGAGAGCCAAAGGTAGACCACACTCGTCAGACTCTGCAAAAGAGGAATACGCGAAAGCGGTCGAGGCAACCAAGAAGGCCTTTGGGAACGCCAGTTTCGTCACCAGATTCAAAGAGCCCGTCGACCTCTTTGACATTGCCGATGACAAAGAAGGAGGAGAGTACAGGGTCGCAAATCACAGGGTTGATAGATCAGGTCCTAATGGAAAGTGGGAACTTGATGCACTTATTCAGGAGGCTGCAGCACTCGGAATAAAGATGCCCAAAGTGAAGGACCTTGCTCCTGACCCACAACAAGTTCAAAAGGTTGGATATCGGCAGATTGAGGTGACTTGCGATAGAGGAAGCATCGAGATAATTCCACAGTATGGAGTTACATTCTATGTGGAGTACTGGAATGGACCGAAGAGAGATGCAACTTTCACGGATCCACCAAAGATGAACCCAGCAACTCGCATCGACAAGTTCAGCGAGGAGAGTCAGCGGGTCAACGAGGTTAGCCATAGACTCAATAGACTACTCAGGCATGGAGTGGGAAAGCATAATGGGATTCAATCGCACCGCGGTCGAAAACCTCATGTGTCCCCGAAGTGCAATGAGGGTGGATGGGTGAACATCGATGAGATCCTGGAATATGACCATGTCTTCAACGATGGTGTCGATATCAGTACTATCTCAGATGATCAACGTGAGCAAGATGTCAAGACAGAGCGATACCAGTATTTATGCAAGGCGATGTGGCATGCAAAGAAGTTGCAGAACAGAGTACGCTATCAGATTGCCGCCATTCGTATCTCAAGGGAGGATGTCTCACTCGAAGAGGAAAGGCAATACTGGGCAAACCTCATGTATTACAGCACAGATGCACCGTCATTTCTGAAGCATGAACGTTGGATCGTTCCTTGTGCAATTCGAGCTGTTGCCTCTCACAATTCTGGAAGAGAGACTGTTCTTGAAGAGGATGTGTCAATATATCCTGTGTGGACTTCACATCTCATTCCAGAGAATGTGGCAATGCAGCTTGGAGGAAGCTTTCACATGACATCGCTTTCCAATGTTGAGTCAATCATGAAACTAGGAATTGTCCCTGGTGGAACGGAGGGATATAGAGGTAGTGTTTTCTTCAACCACTTTGCGCCGTGGGATGATCGATCATCAAAGATTCTGAGATCAAGATGGCCAAGAGTGGGAATGCCCGTTTGCCTTTATGTTCCAATCATGACTTTGAGGAAGCTTGGGGGAAGAATTTCGGAGAATTCCTACACTGTTGTTTTTAGAGAAGTTCCATGGAGATGTGTACGAGGTGCTTGGTATTGGGACGACTACGTTCAGGCATGGAGGAGACTCCTGCTGGGAAGCACTGGAGAGCAAGTTGTTCTAGCGGCACGTCATGGACTTTGGGTTGCTCAGAAGCATACCATCCTCGAGAGAGCCGACGAAGTCACGAAGTCAGCCTCGGCGACAGATGACAACGTCCAAAAGCTCGTGTCCCTTATCGATGAAGTACAATTCGATGACAATGGAGAGCTGATCGAGGATTCCATCAGTGAGGAAACTTGGGACGAAATCATCTCCAGAACACGTGAAGGGTATCGCAACGTGGATGGCAATATTTTGTGTCCATCATGTATGCATTTGACTTCTTCATCTTTGTCCGTGTGTCTATCTTGTCAAGGCAGGCTACTCTCGCGCGGTATTCGCAACACTGTCATTTCCGATTCACCCGTTGATCTTGTGAGCGACGATGAAGAGGAAAAGAAGGAAGAGAAGGAGCCTGAAGATGATGATCAAGATATCTTGGACCAGGCCACTATGGACGAGATCAGAAAGGCTTGGGAAGAAGACATCGCTCAAACTGAAGCAGCTGACGACGACGAGGACATGGACAATCTAGATCCTTCCAAACCGTCTGATGGTGCAGAAAACTTCAAGAGTGACAATGTCGAGACCCCATCTTTCAATGAGGACGAGATCGACTACGGTCGTGATTCTGATCTAGAAGATGAAGACGAACGAAACGTGATCATCGAGATCCAGAGGAGCGCGCAACAATATGAGGGGAAGAAACGTCAAGATGGTGAGCCCGAGGATGAAGACGTCACCGACGACTTACATCCGGAGGCGAATCGACCGACAGATCGTGATGAACCGGGATACTATGCACAGCATGGAGCGACCGAGTTCAATCCCGAAGAAGGAAGAGACAACGAAGATCTCCCCATCTATTGTCGAGTACCGGAACCTCGAATCTATGCGCATCAAGAGAGAGCCTACTGTCAGGACGTCTCCATGAATGCATCGGGTTTGATGGATAGGTATGTGGTCAAATGTGTGCTGAACATGATCTCCCTGATGTACAAGAGCTACTATTGCACCAGCCTTACCGACTTCAAAGCAAATTGGAAAAGGAAGCGACTGGATGTGATAAGCAAGTTCGGTACAGAGGATTTCACTGAAATCGATGACGATGGGAGACCATTGGATCCAACAGATGACATGATGAGAATCTTTGCCAACGAAAACAAGATTACGATTGAGGAGGCCTGGCACCGATTCAGAGGAGAGCAATTCATTTGCAATGGTGGCACTCGTGATCCTATCATTTGGTCATACTCCGTACTCCTTCAAGAAGGAATATGGCAACTTCGAATACTCCACCAACTTGACTGACGTCCAGCTTGAGGAGTTGAAAGCGAAGAAAGCCAGCGCAATGACTGAATTGGTACAGAAGTGCATCCATGCGATTTATGGTTGTCGGACATATTCTTACTTTAGAACCGACGTTACATCACGCAACCACAAGGTGATCGATCCTCTGGACATCATGTACTCGAGAATGAAGAGCAAATGGGAGAAGTCTATTCTGCTGATCATTGATCAACATGAGATCAGGTTGCCCCCCACACGCTCAGAATGTCGTAGAGTCAATGGCCAGAAATCCCAACATTGGACATACAGAGAGATGGATGAGCGTGGTAGAACAGAAGCATGTTCAAGCTCTTACCGATCGTCTAGGCTTTGGAGATAGGGCCAAGGAGATTCAGGGCAAGAAGAAGCAGGCAGCCAAGGCAACAGCTAAGTCAACATCAACGACTAAGTCTGAAGCGAAAGCAGCATCTTCGTCAAGAGCTGAGGCAAAGCCAGCATCTACACCCAGAACCGAGGCCAAGCCGTCGTCAGCACCAAGTGAGGAGCCAAAACCTTCAACAGCACCTAAGAGTTTCGGGCCCTCATCAGCAGATGAGAACAAGGCGAAGGCTGCTCCAAAAGCCAGACCACATGATAAATCACCATCCAGTGCTACCGGTGTGTTTGAGCAAGCTTTGCAGGAAGATCTTGCCGCCAACGCACATGCAGCAGAAGGTACAACTTCTTCATCATCCCGAGGACATTCCAAAGGAGGAGGCCAATCTGGAACATCTTGGAGGCCGGCGCTAACGCAAGAACGTCGCGAAGTACCTCAACCTTCTGAAAAGGGGAAGGGAAAGAGCAAGTCCAAGGGAAAGTCCAAGAAGGGAGAAGATGATCGGCGGGATGCTCAGGGCAGCTGGGATCATAGTGGATGGAGAGGTTATCGCCAGTGGTGATTTCTTTGAACGACTATGAGGATACCATGCAAACCAGGGAGGAAGTCATTCACCGGATGTCTATCTGACCTGAAACGCTGTAAGTGTATCATTGCAAATCATCAATCCGATTTGATACCATGAGCATAATGGAAGGCAGACAGTCACCGACTGTCTCTCCGACTTGCCGTTCTGTAAGTGTATCCAAACCAAAACCTACATCTTTTGAGAAGTGTGAAGTCAGTTGCCGATGTGACATCTACGTGGAAGTCACCAGTTCGGATCTACATCAAAGCGATGCTCTTTTGAGTGGATACTGAGCGAGGCCTCGTGACTGTCTCACTTGTTCAATTCGATTTTCATAGGTTCTGAGCCATAGTTGCACACTTTATATGTAAAAGTCCGCTTTAGTCCAGCATGTTTCGTAGTATGAGCCTCATATGAGTCTCGCGGCAAATCATACAATTTCTTTCGTAGCACTTACATCCCTAAATTTTCGTGTGTGATCGGAACATATTGTTGCCGTTCACATGGGGGGTGCGAATGGAAGTGCAGCGACACGTACAGTGCAACTTGTACATATATATGTACCATATGTACTTTGGCTCAAGGATCAAGCGACTAGAAAAGGTGCGGTTTCCGTTCCGACGCTACGCCGCTTATGGACCGTCAGTGATAGCTTCAAACTTCGCTGATTAAGATCCACTCGCATAGAAAAAGCAGCGCGAAAGCGGTGCAAAACGATTGCTAAATTTAGCACTGGTTTTGAACCGATTTGGAGGCAGCATGTCACGTCTAGCATCAAAAACTTGGTTTGCTGCTGCTGCTGCTGCTGCTGCTGGGTGGTCTGCTGCTGCCGCTGCTGCTGCTGGGTGGTTTGCTGCTGCTGTTGCTGCTGCTGGAAGGTCTGCTGCTGCCGGATTGTCTGCTGCTGCCGCTGCTGCTGCTTGGTGGTTTGCTGCTGCTGCTGCTGCTGCTACTACTACTACTACTGCTGCTGCTGCTGCTCTTGGTGGTCTGCTGCAGCTGCTTGCTGGTCTGCTGCTGCTTGCTGGTCTGCTGATGGTCTGGTGGTCTGGTGGTGGTGTTGCTGCTGCTTGGTGGTCTGCTGCTGCTTGGTGGCCTGCTGCTGCTTGGTGGTCTGCTGCTGCTTGGTGGTCTGCTGCTGCTGCTGCTTCTTCTGCTGCTACTGCTGCTACTGCTGCTGCTGCTTGGTGGTCACGAAAGCTAGCTTCAGCCAGCTCGAGTCGCTCTTCCTTGGCAGTGGCTAGCTTTCGTTCACCTTCCTGGCTTCAAGATTGCAGGACCTTCATGGCCTGTCGGCCCGTTCTTGGGCTTGACTCTCAAACAAGCTTCAACGGTGTCAGCTTGATGCAACCTGCAAAACTGAGGCTCTAAGTTTGGCCTGCGCAGTGTGCTCGTATGGGTCGAAAGCACTTTGGTGGCCGCAAACTCACTGTGAGACTGCTCGATTTGACATAACATAATGAGCATAGTTGAGTTGAGGTTTCATTTAGAAGTTAAGGCACAATAGAAAACCGTGCACCTTGCCAAGAAGTGCATGCGAGGTGCACCGCTCGCTTGTTGGAATTCCTTATGAGGAGGAAATGGTTGAAAACGCATTTCAGGTTTGGATTCAACTCTGTATAGGCTGCAATCAAGTTCACCGATCTAACACCTTCTTCATTGGGTTTGCTACTGATAGTGAAAACTCCTATACGGCCGTAAAGATGGCGCGAAACCAAACAGTGGAAACATCTTGATGCGACGTGGAGGGCAAGATTGGGCAACCCAAGGAACCACAGTTCTAAAATTAGAAGCCACGGAACCAAGCCTAACTTTAACCAAAGTTCCACATGTTTGTCAAGTTTCGATCAGAAAGCTCTGCCGGAAGAAGGAGAGCAGCGGGGGACCATTTGCGCATATTTGCGCGTATTGTCCGGGCCACGGATGTGGGGAGGTGGTTCGCATAGCCCTGACATTGAATGGACTCGGCGAGTTCAGAACGCGTCGGCAGAGGGTTACAGTGTCGTGCATTGAATGCTTTGGAAAACATGGACCTGAAAGCTGCCAGTTGCTCGCGGCTTGCAGCGCGTTGATTCCGCATTCGCTTAGGACAGAGACACTGTCGGAACAAGTGTTCAAGAGCGTTTAGTCTAATTGCTGTCTACTGTCTATTCACCACATAATGACATGGTGTTTCTCGACACTACAAACTACAGGCGCATCATTGCAATATCATACCAGCGACATGAGACTTCACCGCACATGATCACTCAAAGCAGCACCAGCACAATCACATCAACATATCACAGCAAAGCTTGCTTTCCTACAGGTTTAGCATCAGTTCCTAGAGGACACTTCTGTCCCCGGGTTGTGCGGACATAAAGCCGATTTGATACTGTTGACACAATCCATATCGAAAGGTGGTGAGGCACTATGCCAAATTATTACCTTTGGCATTTTACCCCTGGCAACTTGCCAAGTGAAAGCCATAGTCATTCATTCGCCCTTGCACTTTTGAACTTCCAAGACTGATTGATGCTTTCTCATGTGCAAGTGCGCTGGTTCCAATTTGCTTGTTTGTGCAGGTGTGTGTAGCGCTGCTTTACCGCCTAGCGGCTGCATGTGGGAGAGCTGCGACAGATCACAGTGTGCATTTTGAGGTCAGGTGATTCAATCATGGGGCAAACAACACATTGTAAATATATTCATATACTGTATATATACATATATGCACATGTGAGACTGTCCTTACAAGGACTTCTTGCCACTTCAGGCGAATGTTGCACTGGAATGGTGGGAGTTTGCTGAGGTGCCATACTGAGTGTCGCATAAGAGTCTAGCAGTGATCTACAGTTTCAATAGTACAGCGCACTATATATACTGTAACGTGTTTTTACAGCTGCCAAGACTTCCAAGGTGGCCAGGGCAGCACTAGGCGAAGTCAAAGCCTTAGCTGTTTGGAGCTGTCTGCAGTTATACAAGTCTTTTCGATTCAGGCACAAAGCATGCCCGTGTTGGCCCAGCAAATATCTGCTCTCAGCGCGATGTCTGGAGCCAGGTTCTGCTTGTTTGTGGAATAACACAGTGTCAGTCACAAAACGGGTTTCTAGTTTGTTGAGCCTTGCACATATGTCCTACTGTGAGCTGAAGGCCAGAACGCACTGTGTGTTCAATTTGGCAATCAGGAGGCAAGCAAGAAGAGGAGCTAAGCAGCATTTGATAGTGGAACAATATATTGATTGCCCAGCCACTTTCACATGTCATTCTGATCAAGGCATCCGACCCAAAAGAACGGTTATATATAGTTTTTAATAAATAGGCCGTCTGCAAGTCGACACGGCACCGTCCACGTCCGGGACCCCCGAAACAAACCATACGGAGAGCGAGGCCAGGGGGGCAACCGATAGGGATCCGATTTGCTCTTGGCGAAAAGTCCGATCCCATTCCGTTCCGAAGCCTACCCGGTTTTACCCTTTTGTTGACCTTCTGACAGGCGACTCTGGAAGCCTTGGAAGCCTACCCAAACAAATGACCAAATGCGATACTACGCTACGAGGAGCGTTCGGACGCTACGAACAGGGCTCCTGGCCTTACTACTAGGAGCGTTCGGACGCTACGAACGGGGCGACCCTGGCATCGCGAACCGAACGGAGCGAGAACGGACGCTACGAACGGAGCAAGTGACCCATACATGACTTTGTTCCGGTAGGGTGCGATGCTTGTGCTTGTGTAAGAAAGGGTAGTTGTGCAACATGAGGGTACCATCCGCACAGTCCATACAAATTGGATGAACATGCAGGCACCACCTGGGAAGCGGTTCATGGACAAGGAAATCCTTCAGATTTCTCAGGCCGAGTCACTTGCAAATGCCTACGGCTCAAGACCCTTTTTGCGAAAGCCATAGGCAAAGCTGAACTTGTATTCTGCTTAGGAAGTGAATGTAAAATGGTGATGAAGACGAGCATCAACAAGTTGATGCAAGAATGAGCAAAATATTTTTGCAGATATGTTCACATAGAAGACGATGGGCGCTGGTGGGTGTGGGCCGTTTTGGCTAAAGCCTGTTTGAATGTCGCTGTGTGTTGGGTGTCGCGTGTGGCATGGCACTTTTTGGCTAGTGGAATGGGCTGGCAGCAATGTGCGTGATAGCGGACGCCTTGCACCACTTTAATGTTGATGGAGTATGGCAAGCTATTCTACATCACCTTACAGCCTTGTGATCCTCTCGGCGGCCCTTGGTCGCCCCTTGTAGTGCGGGCATCACAGGAACTCTGACGCCGGTTGCGGCCACGCAGGTGAGATTGGTACGGCCACTCAGCAGACGGGTCATGGCCTACAGAGCCAGCGGAAGAAGACCTCGTGACGAGGCTTGGAGCCCTCCGGACGCAGATGGGACAGTGGCGCCAGTCCTGGACCTCAAGGGACTTCATGAGTGCACTCATTCAATTCAAGTCTTTATTATCATCACCATGTCACAGGGCTTCGATTGACAATGCTATCGCCTATTTGGTCAAGATCGCTGACACACAGGCTACTCAGAAGAAGGCCCAAAGTGCAAAGGCCCTTGAGAGAAACGCAGCCGAGGAAGTCAAGTTCTTGAGCCTGAAGCAGAGACGCCGCCAAGAACATTGAGTCAGGACATCAATCAACACCAACATCAGCTTGATCAAGCTTGACATTGATCCCAATGGCCCACTGCCAAGTTCGCACCAAGCCCAGTCAAGAATTCCCACCACCGAAGCCACCTGCGAAGAGTCCGGCAGCATTGTGATCCCAACACCGTGGGGTGGATTGCAATGGGGGCGCTTTTGGCGTCTTGGTGGGGGGGCCAGGGTTGCATATGGCCGACGGTTCAATAACCGCCCACACTTGACGCCTCATAGCAGCGCTAGCAGGGCCACATGGCGATTTACGCTTTTGGGCGGTGACGTATCGTCGCAACCAACTTCTCACTTTGCTAGCTGCTAGTGTCACTGTTATGCCGCTTTTCCAAAAGCTGGCAAAATGCTGCATCACGCTTCAGATCGAATGCAGAGGGGGGTGTTGAAATACACTGCGCCATATTTGCATTTGTACCCAAAAGGTTGCGGCTCAAAACAGTGCACGTTGCTCAGCGGATTTGTCGTGTCTGGGTCGGCTTGAGCCTGTAAACACAGCCTTCAAGCGTAACAAAGCAAGCAGCCCAAGGTGGAAGTTGAATTTTGGTACAAGACCTTTGTTGCAGCTCTTGATCCGCAGGACAACAAGATAGCCTGATGTTCGCCGAGGCGACACTTGGAAGTGGAGTCTGCAGATGTTGCGCGGGTGTTCATGTATGTCGCGCGCGGAGGCATTCTGGGCTGTTGCCAAGTGGTCTGCACATTGGCAGGAGGGGGCAGGAATATGCTTGCAGTGCTGAGCTTGCCCTGGAAACATGTCGCGTGCAGGTGCAACTTGAATCATTGGAACTGTTAGAAGGAAAACTAAGATAGATAGTTAGATAGATAGATATACGTATATATATATATATATATATACACTAGCTACCTTAATTATAGAAGAAATTGCAGCTATATATCTTCTATTTGAACGGTACACGGGCACCTTCCCGGCAAACAACGCAAATAGAAGATCACGGTAATTATTGGATGAAAATGATAAAAATTTGAGTCTTCTTAGCTGTTTTGGCATTTTGGACTTTCTGCTCAAAAACATATATATATATGTATCATTGCCGGCTTTTGTGGTGGATCTTCTATTTGACTTTGCTCTTCTATTTGACTTTCGGATTCTGCCTTTATTACTGTTTCAAAATTTGTGATTTCTGCCCGCGCCCTCCGCGCCCTGATGCTGGCCGAAGAAAGCGTGTGGCGGATAGCGATAGCTCCGATAGCTAAGAGCAGGGAACCCTGGATGCTTAAAAAATTGGAATATATATAATATAATATGCGCAGAAATGGTGGTTGTTTGCTTGGAATGCTATCGTTTTAGGCTGTACGGGTTTCAAGGACTTTGCCAAAAAAAAGCTCCTTACCATAGAGCAGGCAGTAATTCCTGCCAGCGCTTAGACGCGATTCTGCGTAGCAAAGGGAACAGTTTCCAATAGAAGATATTGTTGAACAGCAGTTTGGCATAACCATGAACCCCTCAAAAAAACTAAAATCAATATCTTCTATTTGACTGCCAATAGAATCTTCTATTTGACTTTTTAATCTTTTTTAATGACTCGACAATAAGACAACTCGAGGTTTTTGTCACTTTCTTCCTGGTTACAGAAAAAGGGTCCTGCCGCAAGAGTTGTTCCCAGACCGGAAGATCTTGCGCAAAAATCCAAGAATTTTCCTCCTGGGAGCACTGTGCCATGTTTGGGATTAACAGGAAGGATTTGCAGTAAATACCAGTAAATTCTGACTTCCAACCTCTCTCAACAGGTTTTGTCCCAGAAAGGCCAAGTTGGATCTCAGGAGCTACCTCTGTGGCAGAGTATATCTTGTATTTGGAATGCTCTCCGGGCACATCTTCTATTTGAATTTGAGCTTGGGTAAAAAAGAGGATGTCAGTCCTTCAGTGCGGACTTTGTTCTCCCTTGAGCGAAACTAGTTGAGGTCGCGCTGACCTTGGTGTCACCTTCTCAGGTGTTCTAAGCCTTGCCCAAAATGAAAAGGAATGCTTTCCACACTCCCCCTACTGGCGGCGCCAGTACATCTCAAAAAGGGTCGGATGTGCAGCAGGTTTTTTCGTCGAGTCTACTGTAAAATTCTAAGCTCCCTTCCGAATGGGAATCCGAGTTGCTCTCACTTCGCACCGCCGGCCGACCAGCAGCCGTCTCAATGCCCAGCCAGACAGGAAGCGAGTCACCACGCGGCGAGAGAACACCCTCTCCTTCCAAGGCCCTCGTGCAGGCCAGCTCATTGCTGTCAGTTTCTCCCCACCTCTGGCAGCCTTCCAAACGAGCAGCGTAGCCCTGGCCACCATCATAGTCGACAATGACTCGCGCAGTGATTTCCTCAGGGACGGAGAGACCCGGAGGAGCGCCCGCGTCACCATTTCTCCTGGCAGCGGCGCCCCCTCGTTCCAGCGCTCTGGATTGAAGTGGAGCGGACCCCCCGTACCCAGGAGGATTTGCCCGAGCTGTCAGCTCAGGGACAACAGGACGCTGAAGCGCTTCACCTCCACTCTCCAGCACCGTCTCCTGAAGGCGCTCCCAACGATCAGCGCCTGTCGGCGGGCTCTGAAACGGGCCCAAAGCCCAAGGGGTGTCAGTCCCCAGGCCACGGTGGACAGCCGAGGACCTCAGTGCACAGATACGCGGTGCAGCCCTGGTTGATGGCGCGCCGGGGCCGTCCAGGGTGGCAAAGGTCGAATCGACGGTCGGCGAACGAACCTACCTGCCTGTTCTCAGTTCCACCTTCATGGACTTTCCTACATGGGTCGGGTTCATTTTCCCTCGACCATCTTTTTTCATGTCTTGATGGGGCTGGGTTAGACCGCTTTTTGGACTGGCGCACGGCCGTCTTTGTTGAAGCGCTACCTACAAGTGCGGCCAATGCCGCCACACCGAGCATAGAGGCGACACGAGTCACTCCACTGAGCCCCCGAAGCGCCGTGATCATGCCCAAAGCCGCGGCCGCGCCGCACGCGATCTTCATCGCCTTGGAGGATCGCTCACCGTCAACAGATGAGCTCATAGCTGCAGACTTCAGGCCAACAGCTTCACCAAACGCGCTCCAAGACCGGGGCAATGTGATGGCCTTGGTGAGAAGGTCGGAGCACAAATCTGCGCCGGGGACATGTTCAGGATGCCATAGCTTCAGTTGCAGGCGCTCCCTCAAAACATGGCTACGGAGTCTCAAATGCCTTGTTCTCCGTGGCTCGCACAGCAGCCCAGAGCTGGGAGACAAATGTAAAGGATTGCAAGGCAGAGACGGACACTGCAGTACAGAGCGGGCGGACACATCTTAAGAAAGAATTGAGAAGCCCTAACAGTAAACTATAGTAACCTTTTTGGGGAAGAATTATTCTTCAAGCGCGAACATGATGCTGGTCATGCTGCTCAGTCAGCGGGGAGCTGACCACGTGAGGACAAGAAATAGAAGCGTGAGGAGCGAAGGTTTTGGTGCCTGACGTATGCCCTCCGTCCCAACTGAACAGAGAGATCGCTGCGACGCCGCCGAAATCCAATCCGGTCATTCATCCAACGCTTGCCCGAAAAGGAAAACAAAGCTGAGAGAGTTACACAATGTGGTAGGAATGCAATCCCGGAGACAGTCACGCACCCCTTTCAAAGGAGCAAAAACCTTTCACAGGTCAACCTGTTCCAGCGGACAGGGTAGAAAACACCAGTGCAGGCACCAAACCCGAAAGACAACTAGACGACGAGTGGCCCGAAAGCATTTTTCATCACGTAGGAAGTCAGAGTGCGAGTCTATTGCTCTTGCCTTGCTGTATGTACCCGCCTACGGTCTGTCGAGACTTGTGCGATCTCATTTTGAAAATGCTCCGGTCTCTCTGCTTGAGCCGCCGCGTACATCCCGCCACAGCCTCGATACTCCAAGCTCAAAAAAACGAACGCGCAACGAGACGTGCCTAAACCAAACTATATGAATCTAAACGAAACGTAGGTAAGTCCAGGAGCACCTAGTAGCGTCCTTGCTCCTAGTAGTTTCATCGCGTAGGAAGTCTGAGTGCGAGTTCTCTGTTACGTGTGCAGTGTGAAGTGTCAAATCGAGTGAGTTGAGGTAATGTGTGGGTCTCTGTGTGTGTATCTATGTCCATGTGTATATGCGTCTCTGTCTGTGTGCGTGTCCGAGTAAGTTGAGGCAGCCAGTTCTCATCTTCCAGCTCCCCGGCTACTCCGCGTACTACCGTTGTACGACACAGTCGCCAGTGTTCATCTTCCAGCTCCACAGATACTCCGCGTATTCAACTTGTACTACCCACTCACCAGTTCTCATCTTCCCACTCCCCAGCTACTCTG